CCAATTTTCACACTGATATCTTAAGTACATGTACTTATTATTTCCTTTCATACTTTGTACATAAATGCTCTATGACATTGCGCAGACCTTATTAGTGTTACATAAAAATATGTGAATATAAATTACCTGATTTGCATAATAATCAGTCAGTTTTCAGCTTTTTCGTCAATATCTCAAGTACTTATTTTAATGAATTTTGGTTTGAATTAATTTTAATGTTTCTTCAATACTCTACCCAGGAGTTCTTTCTATGTTTTCCGTTGAGATTTAAATCCTGTGATTATTATTTCCTAATTCAATCTGGCAAATGACCTGTGCCTTTAAAGGTCTAATGTAAGGTATTGCGTATTGTCCAATCACTGCACAGAATTTGAATACTGCGTGTTGTATTAATCCCAGTGGGATTGTTTATTTCCATTGAAATGCAAACCATAAATGAGTCTGTAATGAGGAAATCATCAATCTCTGTTTTTGAACAAATTTATAATTACTCGTATAATATTTCATCATTCTTTTATGTTGTGTTTAGAATCCTGGTCGTGCTGGGCATGAAATTCAAAAGAACACACTGGAGCTAATCACAGGGTTGGTGAATTTAGCGTGTCAGTACAGTATAATGCCGGGTGTGGCACAAGAAGCAATGGTGGCATTGTTATGTCTTCACCAAGCTGATAATGTAGAGTTGTGGAATCCAGAAGCACCCATTGCTACATTCTGGGATGTCAGGTAAACAACAACAAATGGGAGTAGTTTTTTCAATGTAATGCTGGACCTCATTGATGGCTAATAAAGTTGTAGTAAAATACAAATTCATGGATTTGATTCTAGCTATGTGCATATAAACAGCACCTAGACAACTGGTAGTACTCATGTAAACAAAACCTAGACAGAAGTATCTGGCAAATACTTATAATATAAATTTTTGTGCAATTTTATGATTTCAGGGTTTAGCCATCGGGACTAAACTTCATCAAAGTCAATGTGATTTTCTTGAAACCATTTTCACAACTGCACAATTAACGATAGTTACTGCATAATTGAAGCATGGACAATATTTTACATCGTTTGTTCGTTGCAGTTCCCAAGTATTATTCTCCATCTCAGAAAAACTAATACACCATCAGATAGTAAATAGTACAGAAATGCTAAAGTGGTTGAAGGAGATACTCTCGCATCGGAACCGGTTTCTGAAAAAATACAAAGACCATCACACCATAGGCAGTAACATACCTATAGCAAGGCAGGCTCAGAACAAACTGGAAGTAAGTACTGTTGTCTTTGTACCAATCATAAAATCATTAAATCATCTCAGACACATTTTCTCAAAATTCAATTATTGTACTTTACTAGTTATTTTGGAGAATTTCAAGCAGGTGCTTAAATTATTTTTCTAATTTGAGAAAAGATTTTAGTATATTTTAGTTGAATCCAGTGTTTCTATACAATTGTTTCAGACCCTTTAATTTTGACCCTTTAATTGGAGTGACTGGCGTCAAAGGTAGATACTTTGCCACACCCTGTGTTTCAATACCTCGTGCTATCGTTTCTCATCCTACAGGTGGTGTTTTTTAATTATCTTTGGAGTTATGATATGGAAGCAGTTTTGACCGCTATGTCATGTTTTGGTTTGTTATGCGAGGAAGCGGAGATTCGATGTGGCGTGGACGATTTATCAACTTACCAAGTTGTTCCCAATTATACTATCTATAAAGAGATTGCCGCAGCCAGTAATATGGTGACTACGGGGAGACGAGCACTGCAGAATAAAATCTGGGCATTATTGCGTAGGATAGAACATTCCACTTCTGGCAATGTATTGGTGAGGAATTCATAGTTTATTTGTTTTCTTAGGGAGTTGTGTTTTATGACATCATCATAATAGTAGGGTGTTGTGTTTCATTACATAGTAGTTGATGTCTGTCTGAACCAAATTCTGTCTAAAATGAAAATATGTCTAATCCCTTCGCCATAGAATAAAAAAGACAAACAAACACATCAGTTACCAATGGTTTTCTCAGTTTATTTCTTCTTATTTTCAGTTTATTCAAGTTTCTTGGTACAACCCCATTCCTGTGATTATATTCCTCTCAGATTTGTTATACAATGAAATGATTATAAAAACTTATCTGAATTTGTACTCTGTAACAGAAATAAGTCAATGCATTGGTTTCAGTTATCGCAATGTTTGCATTTAGTTTTGCCATAATATGAATCAGAGTACCAAGCTAATATTGCTTCCACA